AGAATCAAATGAATCAGACTGTATGACATTGTTACCAATTTGTTTTATTCAATTCGCTATATCTATGATTTACAATTATAGAGTATGACATAATAAACTACAATACCGTGGCCCAAAATAAAGGAATTATATGCTATCAAAAAACTGTCACAAATGAGGTTGTGTGACGTTTATATGGTTTCTGCTGTGATCATGTCACGCCATGGGTTCACAGTGGTGTACCCTGCCCTCGACAGAACTGATTTGTGTATTGTCTGAAGACAATTTACAAGCCCCTTTAATCCATTTAGTATGTTGTTATGGAAACCCTTATTCACCATGACAGCAATCTAAAACTTATTAGGATGGTTCACATGACAACATCAGCAGAAAAAGGGAATTTTGTACTTGTGAACCAGGGATTTACATCAGCGGATGCAAAAAATATAATGAATGCTTTGTTAACAAATTATCAGCTCGAACAGGCAAACATAAGCATAAGTTCATCCTTATGTCAAGTTTGAACTAGCTTCTGTTTCTGATTATGTCACAGCAACAGTGTTTTAGCTTTGTATTGTATGGCAAATGTTTTTGAGGACAATAAGTAATGTCCGTGGTAATACTTCTTCTAAGTTACCATGACAATGTTATAGACAACAGTGGTTGTCATGGAAATGTAGAATTCTGGGTTGCTATGACAATATTCAAATTACATTCACTGTCAATTAGTGTAGTTTATCAGCCATTTTAACAAATGAAGAGCTGTCTTATCTTATTGAAAAAAATTCAAATCCTGAATACAATGTAATTTTAACCACAGCAAATATATTTTACTGTAACAACAGTTAAGCTTCGTTCAGTTAGGCTCCTTGCAGCTATTTCCGGTGTCATCACATTAATCTAGCTACAATGTGAAGACACAAGAGAYTAACTGCAAGGAGTTTATAATCAAATGAGAATTCAATATGTTTTTCATTAACTTGTAAATTTTGATTCAGCTTAAGGAGATAAATAGTAGCCTGYGTAGCGGCCCTAAGGGGATTGGGGAGGGCTGGCCGGCCCTCGCCAATCCCCTTAGGGCCGCTACGCAGGCTAAATAGTTGAGCAAAATAGACGGGCAGTCCAGATGACTTAGAATTTCTACCAGTATTTATTCATGAATTAAATTCTTCTCTCCAGTTGCTAATAATCGAAATGGAGGCTTTACAGACATATTACCTAATATACTATACAAAGCTATTTATGAGTATTGTCAAGTTTGTGTCACCTCAAAAAAATAGTTTTGCTGATACTATAGTTCAAACTTTTTGTTTTTCCTTTGTTCTAGATTGTATTTATAATAATGAGAAGAGATGTTACAACAGTAAGCCTTAGAGAAACATGTCATGGTTTGTTTACGTGACTTGCAGGGGATGTTTGTCCTTGATAATTACATTGTAAAAGACTGTACAGCATACTCAATTCATTAACAATTACACCTGTCTTGGTTCGATGGCTGATCCGTGTTCAGGGCATTGGCAGGTCTGCCTGTCATGGGTTTGTGTTGTACTCCGGACTCGGCTGCATTGAGGTCCAAACTAGTAATTCATAATTAATTCATAATTAATAACAAAAAAGGCAACATTTATTGCATGTAGAGTACAAGGGCAGTTCCACATGAGAAGCCAAAAAAACATATTTTTTAAAAGTGGCCAATGAACCTGACAGTTGTGCTAGATCTCAAGCTTAATGATCTAACTTTAAAAGAACACTAAGACATTTGGGTTTAGGACTCAGGGGGAGAGCCCTGGGGGGTGTGAAGTTCCTTGTTTTCCCAAAATATGAAATATTGGCTAAGTAGGGTAACTTCAAATCTAAATTAGATATAGATAAAAAATAACAAGAGATGAGACCAACTTACATTTAGCTTTATATTATGATGCAGTTTCAGAATATATAGCTTTTTTCTGAAGTTATTTGTTTTATAGGTGGATTTTGGTTGTTTAATTGTGTTACGGACATTACATATCAACATGGTGAAAAAGACAGTTTAATTCACTTTGCAAGCCAAAGAACAATCTTTATTCTATGGCATCTCATATCCTCTGTTAGCTAGTTATGGGTCATCATAACATACTGAGAAAATTTACAAATAATCATGTTTTATGGGGAAAATGGTGTTACGGACATTACATAAAAATGTTACGGACATTACATTATTGTGTATGTAATGTCCGTAACACAAATAAATATTTACCTAATATCAAAAATGTTAGCTCTGCGCAATCAATAACATTATTAATTATCTTTTATGTGACAGCTAAGCATAATATGTATTCCGGAGATATGATCAATTCTATGACAAGGTGCAAAAAATTGGAAAAGTTTTATATATACTGTCAGTGTATTTAATTACAGTTATGTGACGTAACATTCAATATAATACTAGTATATTGAGTGTTTATGCCATAATTGATAATAATCAAATGTCAGCTAAGCTAGCTTGAATGCTTGAACAGTTTTTCAATAACTTTAAGACAATGAATGTAGAATGGCCCATTTCCTTGCAAATCAAATGGGCCCAAAAAAAACACAGGAAGTGTGTGGATCTCTGATTGTCGAGTCAAACCTCTCAGCCCCAGACCGATGTAAGAACGTGAACTTCACAAAKTCATTTTCATCTACCTCCAATGCTCGACCTAATTAGAACTTATTGATAAAATCCACAGCAAAGTACTTGCCACACATAGATTGTGCTGTGGGTGGCAAAGGATGAAGCATTTCTTCATGAAGTTTCATTTTCACCAGGGGCGATGGAGTCGGGGGGCAGGGGGCGGGGGCACTGGCCCTCCCACAGAATATTTTGGGGGGCTAGCCCCTTCCCCCCAACCTCCCCCAATTAACCCCCCCTGCCCCACACCCGCGCCCCCACACACACACAAAAGCTCAAAATATCCAATAATCCATTTTCTTTTTCGTTGTAAAATGCATTTTTCGTTGTAAAATGCATTTGTAAAAGTTCATGTGATGTCATCACTATAAGTCTATGATTGTGCCCCCCCAAGAAAATTTTGGCTCCGCCGCCCCTGGACAATGACCATGTCCTTTAGAATTGTGCATAATTATCTTATATATGGTGGTTTTATTCCATGATTGAAGGAAAACATACATTTTTTTTAGGTCTGATTCCATGTATTTCAGAAAGTGTAATGTCCGTAACATAATTATGTAATGTCCGTAACACAATACTTTCAGAAATTACCAGGTTAAAAATGTAAAGAACTGTAAAGTTTAATAATCTTACAAAACTTCTACTCATAGTCCATCATAACAAAGTAGTCATTGACTTGAGAACCGATTGAATTCAGAGGAATTGGAACTTGAAATCATAAACTTTGAACAGTGGTTCTTTTAGCTGTAATGTCCGTAACGCAATTTGAAAGTAATATATTATCTATCTGGTAGAGTCTTATCATTTTGTTCTTCTATGAATTGAAAGAGACATGCCCTAGGTACAATCTAGCAAATAGAGAAAAACATTATAATTGTTTGTCTTGAAAGAGCACAAAGAACAAATTGTAAAATGGCCTCTGGATGTAATGTCCGTAATGGTGGAATGACCCACAAGCAATATTATTATCTGTGTAATTACTTACAAAAAACTTAATTTTACTAAACTACTACAAACTATGATTAATTTTGTGTGGTCACTGGACCGTGAAAGCGTATTGTGCTAAAAGGCATTGCTCGATTAATTGCATGTGCACAATAAATTTAGTATATTCACGCTTCGACTATTTTTCACTAATTATACTAAATTTCGCTATTTTAATTTTGTGTTGCACGGATATATTGTTTGCATTTTAATATATACATTTACAAAATGAGTCCAGCCAACACAAAATACTTGCAATATTATGCCCACTTCAAATTCAATGCAAAATACTCAAAGCTTTTGCTTGCTTATTATTTCATGTATACTGCTACTGGCCTACTAGCCTACGTCACATCCGGACAAACAACACTTAAGTCCATCTGTGACATAGGCTACTGGCCTACATGCCAATCAAATGGAAATTCTAAAACATTATATACTTTACCTCCCATCTTGAATATTTTGGTAAATCTTTTTTGCAGTTTCTAAGAAAGCATCTTCAACATTTTCACCTCT